GGTGGAGATGCCCAGCGGTGAGTAGAAGATGTTCTTTCCAGCATCAGTTTTGGCATTCAGGTTTTTGTAGAGGGCAAAGGCAAAGTCAGCATTGGGACGGGACAGCTTGAAGTAGCTCGGCTGGCCTTCATCGCTGTGATTAGAGCCGTGGTCGTGGTGCCCGTGGTGGTCGGCCCAGACTTCAGCCAGCAACAGCGCTGCCAGGACACAACTAGCAAAGATCCCACGCATCTTTACAACCTGTCCATATGAAAGGAAAAACCAGAGGGACAGAACTGTAAGTTGAGTTTAACCATGATACTAGGTTATAACAGTATTTCATAATATAAAACTTTATAAACAATGTTAAAATCAAGTACAGAAGGACATAAAATGATGGCAGCTATTTTCGATTGTTGTATGTATTAAGAATAATTATAAGAAGCAGTCAGTAAAATCTCAGTACATCATTCATCATGTTAATGATATAATAAAACACATTTTGTTACCGCATTTTCAAACGCTCACATCAAAACTGTCATTTACTTCTTAAATTTAAGTCCAAGTGGTTAGAATTTATACAGACATTCAGCATATCTCAATGAGGTTAACGCTTACCATTAATGTCCACTTTGATGCAGTTTGGCAGAAACTTCATCATTATATCAAGCAGCCCAAAGAGTCAGCTGACTGTTTCTATGAAACATTAACAAAGATCAGCCTTTTCTATCGTGTGCTAACGTCTGCTCAGCCGTGACTCATACAACACAACTTACTCAACATAACGAGGGGAAAGTTCTGTGAGTGAGTCACAATATTTGTAGTTTAAAGGTTTAATATAGTCATCACATAAACACGAAAACAATCGAGATAACAGTGGAAATCAGGAGCCTTTCATGGAGATATGAAGCAGCTGATTCAAATGCCTTCTAGAAAAAGACATCAAAAGATGTGTTTTGAACAAGTCAGATTAACTGGAATTGTAAATCATATAGACATCAGTCAGCAGTGTTGATTTTCAAGAGCAAGTAAATAGAAATAAAATACCTGTGGACAACATGCACCACTGTTATTACTAAATGTATCATTTGTTTAAAGGTATCAGTTAGATAGTAATATATGAAGGACTTTGGATTCTTTTCAGTTCATGTGAAATTATTTTGCTGAAAGACTAAAAAAAAAAAAAAGCAAGACTAACATTTCTGTTATTTGTGATTTATCTGTTATCTTACTAAACAAACACTCTCCTATTAGTCATTTCAGCAACTGGCTAAATCGCATAGTGACATCTCTACAGTCCTGTCTGACTACAATGAAATCCAAAAGTTGCTAAAAATATATATATATAAATCTAGCAGAGGTTACAGCAGCAACATGGTTCTCATTTTAAAGCCAGTGTTCAGTCTTGATTTTACTCCTTTGCAGATGCACATATGGACACCACAGACACGCAGTTGTTGTTGTTGCTAAGCCAATGTTGTACTTTGCACATCCATGAGTACACGAGGATCTGTACAAGTAAATAGAATCTTTGCAAGAGTTTGCATAACTTTTCGCACTCTTGTCGTTATTAATGGTTTTCTAAGGTCGTGGAACTCCTCTACTTCGAAAGGTTGTAAGTGTCCTTCTTCTGCTGCTGATGTGAGGACAAGTTCAGTTGGTGGAGAGGAACAACTTTAATTTAATTTATTGAAACATATAAGGCTAATGAGCACCTACAATTAAATTTCCTTTCAGCTCGTCCATTCACTGTTCAGCCGCTTTAATGCAAGTTAGAGTGCTTCTTGTTATTAGTCTAGGTGGTATTGTTCTTACTGACAATGTCTGACCACGTCCTGTATTATTAGTCACTTACGACGGTATCGCTTTTTTGATTTTTACTACATTCCGCACCAACGCACAATATATCTCCATGCAGATGTCACTTTAGTCAGTGTTTCTATTGAAGCAAGCTGAGGAGTCTTTGTGACTGAAGCTCCTGCCACCCGTGCCCCAACAATAAACCTTCGCACAAACTCACTTAGATCTTTTCCTGTCACAATCTTGATACACAATCACAGTCGACTGGGTGACTGCTGAGTGTTTTATACATGACACGGAGTGTGGTTGGATGTTCATTGCATCATGCAGCACACTTGTCTGGAAATATCTGCATTTGTTGTGTTTCTCCACATATTTATTCAGTTTTTTCCTTTCAGTTTTTCAGGTTCATATAAGAGCACTGCTTCTTTGCCATGAAGTCGTGTTTTTTTTAATTCACTACAGGTTGAGTTGTGTATCCCAAATCAGCAGTGAGTCAGTTCATTTATTTCCTCATCACAGTTCAAAATTTATCACATCAAATTTTAATACAATTTACAACATCTCTTTAAAATCAAAGTTGTGTTTTAGGCAAACTGTGTAACAAATTGAATGAATTTTTGCAGAAACAACCAGTTTGTGCGCACATGTGTGAACGTGAAAGAGATAAATAGTGATAGAGCAAGTTCATGTGTACATTTGTGCAGATTGCCTATGACCCAAAATGTCTCCACAAAAGTTAAAACCAAACCTACACCCTGCTGTCTCCCTTTTGTGATGCATGTTGTTGCGCATACTGTCAGTGAGTGAAATACATCCTGAGTCTGTTTAATTCTCTGTGCTGCGTATGAAGCTCAGCTCCGTCCTTATACTTACAGTAACAAACACAGAAGGCAGAAGAGAGTGGAGAAAGGTAGAAAATCACCCCTCAGAACGAGTTTCTAAGTGGTGTTAAACAACATTCTTAGCCCTTGTTAAAACTCTATTATCAGAGCATTTACAACAATTCAATTTTCATATGCAGCAGCCCATAATCAGTCATCCCTGCAGGGTTTTTCCTTTATTTGACAGAAATCAATTAAGTTTCCTATTATTTCTGACCATTTGATACACAAAAATGCCAATTATGTTTGAGCAAAATGAAACCCACAATTAAGAAAGCTGGTTAAAAAATTAAATTGGTATTTTTATTTTCAGTTATTATCATTTTGGTGCTGTGATTTTCGTGTGGTGATAGCTAAAACCTCTTCAAAGGTCCCCAAAAATTCCTATACAGAGGAAGAACCCTGCACTAATGTATCATACTTCCCTGGTTGTTTGAGCTAATTCCCTTTTCATTTCGCTATTGGTGCCTTTTCTCAGTAAGTTAACCTTAGCTGGTATTGTAAATGTTATACTCAAGAAAACTGTGTACCAAAGTGGACTGAAACATAAAAAATTGCTCGACAAGTCTTTATTTCACTTCATGTTGAAACAGAAATAGTACAATAACACGTTGTCTTAGCAGATGCTTGAAATAGTAAATCAGCTAATGTTTCTTTATTAACTGCATCATATAAAACAGTCTACAATTATGTATTTAGACATGTATAAACCGAGATTGTGATAAATGCGAACAGACAGATTCATGGAACACATTTCTGTTACTTGATGATGTATCTGTTGCTCTACTCTTCAAGCTATCCTCTATTCATTATTTTTCCCTGGTGGTCTTGATATCGTGGCGACTCCTTTGCGGCAATGTCCTGAAGCTACAAACACCTACTGCGGTGTAAAAAGGTAACGCAGGTTCCCCCGCTCGTCTTTACATGGCCGTGGGGTTGTTGATTTTGCCCATGAAGAGGATGCTCTTGGTCGAGTGCTCCAGGATGAAGAGCATGAAAGGTCTGTTGAGTGTCATGGTTTCAGGCATACTCATGGGCATGATCTCGATGGTGGTGGCGGCTGCAGCTTCTGTTCCCGTTTCATCCACGCTGAGCACGGCCTGGTGGGACACCTGAGGAGAAACCAGGAGACAACAGTCAGTTTGACTCAGAAACATCTTGAGACCTGTAGATGCTGTTAGACAGATGGGTTTTGAAGCATCTACTGCACGTGTTTGTTGAAATGGGAATGTGATTTTAAAGCTTTCGGTTGATGTGAAGTCATGTTTGCCAATGATACCTTTGACACTTTGAGCTTGACCTCTTCAGATATGCCGGAGAAATCAGCGTTGTTTTCAAAAGCGTCTGTTATTCCCATTGCTTTAAGTGTGTTATCCAGGGAGGCGTCAGCAGAGATGGAAAATTTCGGCATGAAAAGATTCACGCTACTGCAGAACAAAGAACATCACAGGTGTCAGATTCACTGCAATGCAGAGATGATTTGTTCACGCGACATGAGCTGTACTAATTTGGGATATTTTGAACATAAAAGCCCAACTCATGCCAAGACATTCCCCACGCACATTATTAATGCATCCATGACACACTTTACAACATGAGACTGAGAATGCAAAGCAAAGTCAGATTCTTCTCTTACTTCCTGAAGAGCGAGTCGTGCCAGTGATGGATGTACTGCTTGTTGATGCGGTCTTCCACCTCCTTCATCTTGCCTTCATCAGGCAGAACAATCATCATGGAGGTGTTTCCCTTGTACGGCAGCATGATGATGGTGGTGTGGTTGTCAGCATCCTGGTAGAAGTCGTAGCGTCCCGTCCTCCTCATCATGTCTACCTTAACTTTGCTGGTCTCGTCCACATGGAAGTCCGCCTTTTGTGTCAGGTTACCATCGAAGGGTTTCTCCCACTGTCCTGTACAAGACAGCAGAGGGGGTAAAGATGACAGAAATGTTGAAAGCGGTTACTTATTTTAAAATGTTGTCCTATAATGTCTTAGATTTTAGTCATGTTAATGGCGTGCTCTGTCCTTGAACACCTTGAATAAGACAATAAAATGTGCATGGACAGATGCAGTGTGTCAATGTGTTTATCTGTGTCTACATGTGTCATTCTCCTCATGTTTAAGAATCCTACCTCTAAAGTAGACATAGTTGATCAGCACCATGGCCATTGCAGGGTCCAAGTCCTTCACCATGTCTTTTATCTTGTCCTGAGTTTTAGCCGCAATGACTCTGTTGATCTCAGCTGCAGCTTCTTCAGCTTTCGTAAAGTCGACCTTGAAGATGTCACCAGAGTAGTAGTGCTTGATATCTTTCAGGTACTCCTCCCGAGGGTTGAAATCATTGCGCACTGCAACAGCATTACCAACATCCAGCTTCTGGTTCTCCTGGCTGTGGCCAAGCATGTGGAAAAGATGCTCAAAGCCTTCATTGACCTGATTCTGCTTTAAGGCGCTGTAGCCCAAAGTGGAGAACAGCTGGCTGTGGGTGTCACCACCAGCCCCTGTAGACAGCATGGAAAGGACGGTGGAGATGCCCAGCGGTGAGTAGAAGATGTTCTTTCCAGCATCAGTTTTGGCATTCAGGTCTTTGTAGAGGGCAAAGGCAAAGTCCGCGTTAGGAGGAGACAGCTTGTGGCAGCTCATTATGCCGTCGTGGCTGTGGTTAGAGCCGTGGTCGTGGTGGTCGTGGTGCCCGTGGTGGTCTGCCCAGACTGCAACCAGCAGCAGTGCTGCGACTGCACAGCTTGCAAAGATACTGCGCATCTTTAGAGCCTATCCAAGGAAAACAAAGTCAGTAACAGTTAATTAATACCACTAACCTAATGCCAGGAAACTCTAATAATATGATTCCTTTTTGTCATATAGATTATTAAAAACTTTAACATCATGTCTCCAGAGCTTTAAACCCTTATTTTTAGCAAACAATAAAAGATTATTCACATTGTTAAGCATGTAGCAGTAAAGTGATGTGCTTACCTTTAATGTCCTCTTTGCTGCAGGAAGTTTGTCACAAACTTCTCCCTTTTTATACAGAAGCTCTGAGAGTCAGCTGACAGTTTGGTCAAAAATTAACGATCACCTCTCGCCTGTCCTGTGCTGAGAGATATGTGGCTGGGCTATCTACACTGATGCAACACAAACCACACAGCACAGCACGGCTACATCCGCACTGCTGAGATAATGGACTTTTCTGAAAATGTGTCTAAATGTATTTGTATCATCACACGCTCAGAGAAGTCAGTCAGAAATTACTGGCCTTGCACTAGGAGTGAACCCTATTGCAGTGTGTATGCTGTATTTTCACATTCTGAAAAGACCCATATGGAAAGACTCAGCAGACTGTATTCTCAGTCAGAAAGCAGTTGATCAATATTATTGGGTCAGTGAACTCAAAGTCTGTTATCTCATCTTGATGCCAATGTTGACGTGAAGTCAAAACCCCTGAAAAGCTCAAATCTTTGGTGCTTCTCAGTAACTATTTGACATCAAAGATTATTTTAACACTGCAGTCTGTGCTTCATCTGGACTGTCTGGGTGAAGTTTTGAACGGATATGATGGATGCCAACCAAGCAACTGTTATCAGAAAGCAAATGTTTGTTTAAATGAAGCAATGATTGTTTAAATTCCCAATCCACCATTTTTAAGTGTCAGTAGTTTGCCCTATAATCCAGCAGAAAGGGCTCTGAGAAATCATCATCTTGACTTATTGCATGATAGACTGGCGACCTGTCCAGGGTGTCCCCTGCCTTCGATCTAAGTCAGCTGGGATAGACTCCAGCCCCCCGCGACCCTAGTGAGGATTAAGCGGTGTTATTGCATGTCCTGTTGACCTATTAGCAAACTAAGTTAATAAGTAATGGAGAACACTAGTGAGGAAAGCCTCCATGGATGCACGTGTTTAAGTCAAATATTGGTGGGGGTGCTCATTGAATGTCAATCCTGCATTTTGACTGATTTGTATGCATCAATTTGTGCCTTTTCCGCACCGGTTTATGGTGGGAATGTCTGTTTTTATGTTCTAAAACACCAAATTCCGGCACCAAATGAAAATTTAAAATGTAGTGGGACACATATTGATCTAATTGTCTAATTGCATGAGCTTGTAATTTATATTTTGAAAGTACAAAAAGATGCATTGCTTAAGAAAAAAGACAGTCGAAAGTATTCAACCAGTTTCCAATGCAGGAATTTGAGCGTTTGAGCGTTTGAGCATTACGACAGCAGGAACTGCTCCTGCAGAACCACTTTCAGGCCAGAAAAAGTGCCTACAGATGGGAAGATACTCCCGAGTGGCCCAGAAAACTGTGCAGATCTTGGGAAGGACAACATTTTTGCCATTTTTTCTGCCCTCTCAATGTCCTTGTTAAATCTGATCCTCTTTAACCGCCATCAACAGCAATAAATTCACCATATATATGTTAACATAACAAAACTAATAGTTCTATTTAAAAGTTCTTTCATGTTTGTGTTTGCAAATGCATTTGTTCTGAATATTGAGGTGAGGTGATGAATCTCCTGCATCCACCCTGAAATCTATGTGCATGAAAGCGTTTCTGATTCCACACTGCACACCACATTCAAAGGTGGCACAAAAAGTCATCTATTATGGAAGGATGAGACACAATAATTATCTAAATATGGGGACAGGGGCAGACATTTTCAGACAACCTGTCCTGGAGGCCATTCATAATCTGGTGTTCACATGAAAAGTGATGGGAATAGTTGGTGAAGAATAAAAACAGAGAGCTTGAAAAGGAAGTTCAAACCTCGCCTGCTGTCTCACCTCGGCACACTCGGCCAATCGCTGCTTGTCAGATCGTCGCTGCTCGCCTCCGGGGACCCCTCACTCTTTCAAATGGCTCACAAACCGCCGGTTTTCTGCGTGTCAGTGGAACCCTTCCTGATTAATAGGCTGACATTTCTGTTACTTGTGATAGATCTGCTGTCCTATTCATCAAACTAGCCCCTATTCATCATCTCCTCAATGAGCTAAATATCATCGCGATACCTTCACAAGGCTGTCTGGCTGAGGTAAAAATGAGCTAATGTCCCAGAGCTACTGAAACCCTACACCAGTGTGAAAATGGGACACTATTTCATGAGCGTTTTCTTTTCTCTTTTTTTTTCTTTCTTTTTTTTGCGTTGGCGAATAAGCCTGGATGCTCTTGCAAAGCAATTTCCAATAATTGCATAAGACGATAAAGAGATGTTACAGGAGGAAATGGGTTTCAGAGCAGGAAAAAATGACAAAAAGAGAAAATGCTTTTGTAATGGAAGAAAAAGTGTTTTATGTTTTTGCAAGAATAGCAGAGATTCAGTCACGGGGATAAATTGCTACCATTTAAATGTCTTTTCATCATTTTGAGAAAATGGAGAAATAAACTATAAATCATCCTGTAATGTTTGAAAAACAAAATGCACTTTGCAACTCTTGCTTTTTTTTTTCTTTTTTCGCCTAAATGATATGTTATACTACTGGGACAAATTCAAACCAAAGCTGGCATGTTCTGTAACTGAATGTAGTATCATATCAATAGCAAAACGAGAAGAAAATAGGATGAAAGAAGAAGAGTGTGATGTTCTCTCTCTTCTAGACATGTGTGGGATCGATAATTCTCCCGATGAGCAGGATGAGCCCAGTGAGATCATCATAGATTATCAACATGAACGGTCTGTCGAAGGTTATCCTTGGGGGGACGGAGAAGTCCAGCATGATGTCAGGTCTCCCCCCGTTTCCTGACTTGGTCTCTTCTACCTCCAACATAACCTCATGAGGAGCCTGATGACACAGAAACAGATCAGTGAGAGAACTGAAAATACACAAACAGCCACAACATTAAAACCACCTGGCTTCTATCGTGTAGCTCTGACTCTTTAAAACATGAACACAGGAGCTTTGGTGGTATCTGTTGGTGTTTAGGATGTTGGCAACAGATGCTATGGGTCATGTGGGTTGCAGGGTGGGGCCTCCATGGATCAGTCCTGTTGCCTCCCATGTGTTGGAGCAACATCAAGTCTTAAATTTACTTAGGAAACTCAATATGATTCAGTATTTTGAGTTTGATCTTGATTTGATATGGATGTTCACCTGATGCTCTCCCGTGCAGGTGCTGATTCTGTGATGTGAGCCTGTTCTGCTTTTCTATAGTTAGGCCATTGATTTGTTAGTAGTCAGGTTAAATCACAGTTAGCAACAGTTTTACGACTGCGCTTACAATTTGTATTCAAAATCCAGTGTTTGATTGTGTTATTTATCAAAAAGTCCACCAGTGTGTATGTGATGTGAATATGATTTCAGATATTGAAAGGCTTATATTTAAGCGTGTGCTTCAGACAAAGGTGTATGTGACAGTTTCTTTCCATAACCTGGTGGTTAAAATACTTTTTAGTGATAAGCCATGATTGGATTAGGATCTGGAGAGTCTGGAGGCCGATTCAACACCTTTTTTGTGTTTCTGTAGCCTTTCCAGAGGGCTGTAGCTCGAAGCAAATTTGACATAGCCAGGGTGTCTTTGTGTGAATCGCTCAACAAAACCCATAACCACAGTTAGAGGTAACGGGCATCAGTGGCTATCAGCTGGTAACTTTGTTCAGCTTCAAACTGTGTCACATAAAAGGAGGCCTTTAACGCATCATGTGATTCTTCTGTACAAAATGGACCAATGGTGTCCCTCCTACTTCAGTCAACAGGTTGTTATGGCAAAGAACAACAAGAAATATAAAACTTATCAAGCTGCGAATGTAATTGATGCCAGACAGGAATGCTGGTGGAAAACTGTTACACGTGTGTTATAATACATTCATTTTACTGATCAATGCAGCCGCTTATTTTTAACATGACCAATTGAATAATCATTTTTCTGGACAGTGTTTTACCAGCTGCAGCACCAGCAGTGTAAATGGACTTGGCAGCGAATCAGGGCCAAATAAAAAGCATATCAATGCAACACCAGCTGAATGCATGTTGGGTTCCCATGGTAACACGATGCATACGGTGTGCGATACTGTAACTGTACGGCTTCATTCAGTGATCTCAGCAACACACAGGTCAATCACTTTGCCGATGTAACAAATTCCCACAGCTGAGAGTCTGTATCCCTCATACAGAATAAGAAGAAAACTATTTAGTTAAAAGGAGACACTCTTCAGTTCTCATGGAGATCTGGCCAGGTTACAAGAGAGACACCTTCATGACACTGAAAACGCTGCCTTTAAGCTCAAAAAACCCAGCTAACCCATTAATCTTGCTTTATAGTACAGCCCTCTGAGCAGTTTTTGTGGTGTGGTGGTGCATGACCTTGCTGTGGGAGGCCGCTGCTGGCAGAAAAAAGCTGCTATGTGGTGCTCTGAAATAATGTGTAGGTGGGTGGTACGTGTCAAAGTAACATCCACACGAATGCCAGGACCAAAGGTGTCCGAGCAGATGATCAGTGTTAAACACTTTACCTGTCTGTGGTTTTAATGTTGTGGCTCATCAGTGTATGTTCAAATAAACTGAAGGAGATAAGGCTCAAGCTTCTAATTGCATTATTTTTCACAAAAAGGAGTTCGTTTCACAGTTTCTCATCTCAGCAAAGAAAAATGTGATATTTAGCTCATTCTTAACCTTGATGAGTTTCAGCGTCTTCTTCTGCGATATTCCAGAGAAGTCGGCCGAGTGGGAGAAAATGGATGATACGCCAGCGTTCCTCAGGAGGCTCTCTAAACTGTAGGATTTCCTGAGTTGAAACCTAGGGAAACGGATTTCTGCTCGCCTGTGAAAACAAACAATCAATGTGTTAATGGATTTGCTCTAAGCTGTCTTGTTACAACTTGTGAGACCCGTACTGCAGGCTTTCCCTCACTGATGTATAGAGAGCAGTAATTATTGCTGACTTAGAATCTACTCAGCGTCGTTCATCATGCTGCCGAACAACAGACTGCAGGGGAGCAGCGAGAGGGTGTGACAGAGTTCGATGTACTGTAGACTCAGGACTAAGCAAACACCATTTATAAAGGACAAATATTGTAAAAGGACGAACTGGTGCTGACCTTTGTATTAACATCCTCATATTTAAATCACCATCGGAGCATACACAAAAACAATGGAGGTGAACGCAAATGCATTTATGGTGTTTAAAGCACCGAAAATGAACTCAGTGTTACAAGCTTTTGAAAATACAGTTTCTTAGGTGGTCTGAGAGTTATCCAGAACTACTGGGACGTAATATAGAGGAGATACGTGGGTGTGATTAACAGTATTTTAATCACAAATCCTAAACAGCAGAGGAGAAAGTGCTCAGATCCTTCACTTAAAGTTATAACATTTCTGCATCAAGCTGTATGAAAACGACTAGACCAGTGTTACATATTTCGTTGACTTGTGTACTAAGGTTATCGTAAAGGTTTCCAACAATGTTCAAAGCCAGAGAAAGTCACAACTTGTTCAGTAGATTTCATTGTCGTCATTGTAAATAGCATCATATCCTGTTTGCCAGAGAGGCACAGCAAAAATCTGATGATATTTCAGCTTTGCTTGCAAACAGCTCCTTCTGCATTCACTCGCAGCAGTTCAAATGGAGGATACAAAATGGCACAAGCGCAGTTGCATCACATTTGCTCACTCGTAAGGTAGCTGACACAAATGTCCAAGGAAGCAGTCAAGAACACGTGACAGCGAGCAGACAAAGTGACGCAGTTTCGTTTTTGTTCAACCGTTTGGACTCCCCACCTACCCTGGCTTCAGGTTGCTGAGCCAGAAGCTCATGCGGCTGTCGGAGAGGCAATCCTCCAGAGGCTGCAGCTCGGCTTTGGGCAGCAGGAGCAGCGAGGCCAGGCGATCCGAATAGGGCAGTCGCACAACCGTGGCCGAGCAGTTGGTGTCGTACAGCATCATCACCTTGGATGAGTCGTCCACGAACATCATGGGAACCTCCACGTTGGCCGTAGCATTCAGCTGGAAGCTCCGGAGAACCATGTGGCGACGCTCAAATGGATGAAGACCTGATTCAATCATTGTTAATAAAGGGGTACACGTTATTGATTAAATATGAAGATAAATTGCCTAAAAGCAGATGCCCAATATGTGCCCTAAGTATACAACTTCTAATATGTCTCAAATTATTTTAATTTAAACTTCCACCTGATGTTTCTGAGGTGATACCTGTCTGACAGAATATAAATAGAACTGTTATCATTTATACAACAAAGAGCTACCTTTGAAATACACATAATTGTTGAGTATAAGTTTGTCCGAGTCTTGCGAGTCTTTCATCAACGTCTCAAAGCTCATGTTAAAGGCAGGGTGCCCGCTGAGCAAAAAACTCTTAAAATCTACTGAGGGTTTTCCTTCAACATGCAGGCTGCTCCATATTTTTAATTGACCCCCAGCATGAGCACCATCTTCAGTTCCATTCCTGCCCCCTGCTCCATCATCTGCTCCAGCTCTGTTTCCAGCATCCTCCCCTGCTGCGGCCCCACCAATCCCAGCATCAGACGCTGCCTTCGGAGCCCCACCTCCGCCCCCTCCCTGCTGGAGAGTGAGGCTGTGCTGCAGATCTGCGAGAGCAGATACGGTGGCCTCCACGCTCTGCTGTGTGGAGTTTGCTGCCAACCCCAGGGCCTCCAGGGCCTGGCTCCGACTCTCGGACCCAGAGACTCGGCACAGCAGAGCGAGGGCTGACGCCAGGCCCAGGGGCGCGAACAAGATGTTGTGCTGCTGCAGCTGGGCGCCGGGGTCAGCAGCGGTTCTGGTAGCCAGGTCACGGTAAGGTTCAAAGGCCAAGGCTGTGTTTAGGGCTGATGTGTTGAGCTGCTGACTGGGCTCTCGCTCCCTTCGCAGAGGCTTTGGCGTGTGCGCCGAGGAACATGCTAGCAGTGCTACCAGCACTGTAAGAAAACCACACAAAACAGGCATCACTGCTTCTCCTCTTGCCATCTTGGCTTGATCACACGTCAGACCGGCCTGCTTTGGGGAAGTGTTGTTCTCGTGGCTCGGTGCGGGGGCGGCGGCGGCGGTGTTGAAAGTGCATCGATCTCCGGGGGCTGAGCTTCTGACCCATGGGTTGAGCTCTGAGCAAACAACGGCGGCCTGGTTTCAGTTTCTTAGAATTTCACCAGCAATAAATGGTGTGTGTGTGTGTGTGTGTGTGTGTGTGTGTGTGTTCGGCAGAGGACAGTGAGGACAGGGCATACTCATTCCCCTTTAATACACATTTTGGTCAACATGGATTTTGAACACTTATGTAACTGATACATACTTGTATTTTTGCTCGAGTTCCACTGTGTACACACTGTGGTATTCCAGCAGAAATTATACATGAGAATAACATGTCTAAGCTGTCTGGAAATGCAGTATTTACAGGCCTGATTCTGTCGAGTGGGATGAAACAGATCAAGCAGCTGGTTTATTGTTTATATCACATAGTCATAAAAGTGTCATGAAAAAAGCTAATAATAAGCTTTAACTATCATGTGAGCTGAAAACAATGAAACCGTATACATTCGGAGCCACAAGAGACATGGTGAGAGTCTGCGAAATGTCAAAGTGCTCATTAAATATTATCATCTTAATCTCAGCATGTCAATACAGCTTCTAATTAAACAGCAGGTCATATGGGATTCTCAGCAGGCAACAGAATGCTGTATAGACGGCCGGTCATGTGAGACAGTCGCTGCTGTGATGCTGCGATGCCACCATGTGGTCGATTACGTCAAATGAAACTGAAAGGTGCAGTTCTGCCAGGAAAATCAATCAAAAATACAAAGCGTTGTGGACATGCATTCGGCAGAAACAGCCCACAAACCATGTCTGATAATGTAGTGTAAGACCAAGCAGCTGAAAATCTGCCCAAGAATGGGGATTACAGCTTTATGCGTTTATCTGAAACTATAGCCCAAGTTATTACAAATTATATCTGCTGGCAGCACGAGGCAAATATAATCATTAAACGTTGCCTTGAGGGAAATTTAGTGACACAGATAAAGAGTCAGCCCAGCTCTAGGTGTCCCTGTTTGGCTCATTAGCGCAAACAGGGCTAATAAGCATATCTTAATGGGAGGAGTGCACTGCAGGGGGACTCAGAGGTTCGTCTGAGGTAGGATGAGGCAGCAGTAGAGCAGGATCCACAGGACCAGGAGCATTTCCAGCTCAGATGGAGTTACGTCAAAAGAGGCAGCTAAAGGCTGACGAGTGAATCCTCCCTCGCTGCTGAAAACGTAGAGAAAAACGGGAGCATTAGATTCACATTCATGGTATTTAAAAGTTACATGAACCCTCTGAACTCCTAAAGAGGCAGCCAGGAACTAGAAAGAGTCATCAGACTTACTTGTGTCTTATATAGTTTTATGAAATAAATAAAGGCTTAAAATTGTGGTACTTTATTCCACATGTTGCATTAAAAAATAGATAATGTGGACCAACCAGATTCCGTAAAAAAATAAATAAATAAAAAATTGTGCGCTCCTTAAAGCAACTGAGAAGTCATGTTTGACTCAGCTGCAACCAACAGTTGTGACTAAACTTCAGGGACTTTTCAGCTGAACTGCAGGCAATGTTTACACTGAGCAGTCAGGTGACAGGTATGGAAACAAATTTAAATAGTAAAGAACAACATATCTATAACAGATCAAAATAGATCTAATAGTTTAGAGCCACCATTGCATTTTCCAGTGTTCGTAACGCCTGTGGGCACATAAAGTAATTATTAAGACATTTCTTTCTTTTTTATAAATATGATTTATGATATTATAGCTGCATAAAAGACATTATGAGGTATCTGTACTTCTAGTCAGGGTTGTGTTGTTTCCATCAAAGTGCAGGACTTTATATTGCAATGAAAAATGAGCCCACAGTGAATAAACATGCAACAGGAGAAAAAAATGTAGAGAAACTGCTTCCAGATCAGAGAGTTAAAGTGATAAAACAGAAGAGAAAGTTTTGCCTGCAGCCTTGCAGACAAACCACACCGGCTTGTGCATGATGCTTTGTAGCCTGAAGATACTAAACCAGGGTAGAGCAGAAAGACTAAAAGAACAGCACCAGGGGTACAAACTAGTACAAGTACGAGAACCTCTGTGAATGTTTCTTACCTTTCTAGGACATTAAAATGGGAACAGTTGTGTTAATGTAAAATGAGAAATTGTGCTGCTGTAACGCATATTACGAAGCACTTCAACTACTCCAAAAGTAATGGACACTTGTAGAGCACATGAAGATTCAAGGAAAGATTTGTCTTTCTCACGAGGGTATTTTGGAATAAATAAGCTAGACTACAGGTGGCAGATGTCACAATGGCTGTAATAAACAGAGCTGAAGAAGCTGCACACAGAACTAGTTGTTTGCCAATGGTTAAGAGACCAAAAAATCTTTTCAATCTGGAAAGTTAAGTAATTATTCTTTTATGTCAGCTGCTATTGGACATTTGTCATGCTGTCAACAGATGAAGACAACAAAAGAAGTGGAAACAACTCATGAGGCACGTGAGATAAACAACTGCAGAACGTATTCGATAAGCGGTTTCCATCTCACATGATTACTTAAATAGTTGTTTCTATTAGTTTTTCGAATGAACTACCTCAAAATAATGAACTGATGATGTGTTGTGCAAAGTTGGAAGCATAATAGGAGCAGGACTTAGCAAAGATCACTTTTAGTTGTACAAATAAATTATCACCTGAACGACTCAGAGGTTGCACTGCAGGCCGGAGTCCAGTTTTTATCACCACCATTGATGTCAGCACCTCCAACTGCTTCCTTTTGTGGGGTAGTTTCCCCAAGACGATCTGTTATTGTCAGATCTCTGTGTCTTCTGATCTCCAGTTCCCTCTCCTTCCCATCTGCTGCTTTAGCTGCTGGCTCAAAATCTGTTGAATTCATCTCTTCCTCAGTGTCTTCAGTCTTTTCTACATCTGTACAGTTCTTGTTCAAATCCATTTTGACAGCATTGTCTCTCCAGTCCCTTTCTTCTGTGTTTTGACTCGCCGCATCAGTCCTTCTGAATTCATACGCAGGATCGTCAGTTAATATTCCTTCCTTCACTCCTACCTCCAAACTTTCTAAATTCACACTTTTCTGATTTCCCCTCTCTTCCTCCTTTACACCAACTTCTTCTCTTTCATTACTTAAATCCTGCCCTTCTTCAAATCTTGTCAAATCTTCTCCCTCATCTCCTTCCTGAACTGTTCTCCACTCACTCACTTGTCCCCATTTCTCAGAGAGCTCTTCTTCTCCTTCTTCCTCAGCCTCTTTCTGCCAATTACCCACTTCAGAAATCTTTTCTTCCACTCCATCATCTTCTGTTTTGTCACATCCATCCTCTGCCAGGCGGGCGTTTTCCTTCTTCTTCTCCCTCTCTACCTCGCAATAATCACCATCGTCATTACTCTGTCCTCTAACAAGCCTCTCCTCTTCTTCGTTGCTTCTTCTTTCAGACTCCAAATCAAACAAACCTTTATTGTTTGATATCTGTCTGAAGTTGCTTTCATTTTTGTCCAAATTGAACTTCTTGTGAATCACAGACTGAGCACCATCCTCTGATTCTAGATCAAAGCCTGCGTTCTGTGCCGTGTAGCCTTCCTGATGATTACGTCCGCCGCCATTAAACATCTTGGGTCCTTCCAGATGTTCTGACTCTTTGTTCAATTCCTCTGCTGTTTCCTCTTCAACCTTTTCTACTTGTCTTTTCAGGTGACTGTATGGTTGGAAAACCTCTTTATTCAGATCCAGGATGTAGCTGTAGGCGTCCTCTTCATCTGAGTCCAGAGCTGACACACTGTAGATTCCTTCCTCAGAGCTCAATGAAAAATGACTTTCATCCGCTCTTCTCTTGCCGTAGCCGTGATCTGAACCCTTCTCCAGCCACAGTCGAATCTCTTGGTTGGCTACGCCTGCGTCCAGCGGACTGGGTGGCTGTAAAACGCTTCGACTCCTGCCTTTGTTTTTGCTGAACAGTGAAGTAGCGGCACTGCTTTGGTCGCCTCGGTTGGAGGAGAGGTCTGAGGCTCCGTTCATGTGCCGCGAGGTGACACGAGGGCTTCCTGAAGATCTCCTGGACCACCGTTTCCACAGCTGCTGCTCGCTGCTCGTCTCCAAGCCTTTGAGCAGAGCTTGGGCTTCTGGATCATCGGCGAGAGTCTCTCCGAAGCTGACTGGCTCGAGGGATCCAAAGTTGGGGATCTCAGGAACTTCAGTGTCTGTTGAATGATCCTGTAATATTGGGCATGTTAGTGATAGTTACAGTGCAAAATGAATACATTTGGTTTTGGGAATGCATTTATCTTTGTTGATTAATTAAAGGCCTTTCATATTTTGAGCTTAGGTTTCTTGTTGAGTTAGATGTTCAAGGCCATTTTCCACTGCAGAAACTTGCAGATTATTGTAGTCCTGAACCTTTGTGCATATTTCAACCTCAAGATCCTCCCCTAGAGAACCTCTTCTATGGCTGTTTTTGGGGGAACTGAGCAGCCCTGAAAAGCTACTCAACGCTGATTGGTTAAACTTGAAGACAACACATGTTCTTGGGTAAAACTTAGATGGAACAGAAGGAGCAATTTTCCTGCCCTCAATTCTCTTCTGTAACATTACCATCAGCAGCACAAAATATAACAACCTCTCCATCGTTCTATTTCCTACAAGCTTGCAGAAGAGGCGTTACATTCAGTAGCTACTTCTTGTTATTGTTTTGCCACAGTTATACATTAATGCCAGAAGTTGTCCTGCATGGCAATGAAAACAGAAAGATCGAAAAGGCCTGTGGAGGAAATCCTCCTTCTAAGTTACGCAGCTCTGCTTGTCTGGTAAGGATCTCATAATTTAATCAACCTAAATGAAAGTCTGAGAGCCACGACATGCTGGAGCTTGAGAACGCTTAATAGACTGCAGCAAACCACACAGTAAAGATGTAGGTGGAACTCTGATTGTAGACATGTTAAGAAGCTTGTGCAATCTTTATATATGTGCAGATGATTCAATATGCTGCCCCTCCTGTCTGAGACAAAGCACAGAGAACACTAAAGTGTCGACCGTTTCTTTCAATGGCTGCCAGTGGAGGTTGGAATTCAATATCAAATCTTTGTTATTACCTTTCAGGCTCTGTGCATTTGCTGATTAAAACTTTAGAATACTAAACCTTTCACTAATAAATCATCCAACTCAAGTGGCATTTTTTTTTAGAGACTTCTCAACAACTTTATATTCTCTTGCTTTTCTTACCTGATATATTTGCATTTTAATCAGTGTTTTTTATCATATCAGCTTGAAGCATTGCACTGTTTGATGTTTTTTTTGTTTGCAGGGCGTTTTGTGACATTAGTTTTGAAATTGAATCTCCACTTACTTATTTTTCTATTTGTCAGGTAAAGATCTTGTTCAGACAGAAAAAATGCTTTGAATACTAATACAAAGCCTGATGTGCTTTTTCACAAAGGAAAGAAAATCAATTAAGTTGTTAAAAAAAAAAAAATCCCAAAGCACACCTTCTCCCTGAATAGTAAATAATGTAGGACAGACCCCACTTTATTTTTTGTATGAATTAAACATCTAAAATGAACAGACTAAATGAACGAATGAAAATGAAATGAATAAAAGATGGACATAGCAAACGTGATTGCTTTGTTAAACTACCATTTTGAGGCTTCAGGTTTGGAATTTGGCCATTAAAATCTTGGTTGCTTTAACATCTATTTTAGTCTACATTTGACCATAGTTTACAAAGTTACCACAACGCTGTGTTGAGGGAGACTTAAAACTAGCATTTCAGACCATAAAGTCACTACAAAATGTTTACGGAGATAACAAATCAAGTGAGTCTTTTTCGCATAGACTTCTATATAATCTCGCTTCATTTTTTGCAGCCAGATGAGTCGCCCCCTGCTGGCTCTTAGAAAGAATGCAGATTTAAGACAATTCTATGTAGGCTTCACTTTTCAGACCAGTTGACTACATGCATCTGTTATATTCAGTCTGTGCCAAAATGTGAGCTTCCCTAACTGGCTGCTAGTTAACCAAACATACTGAGAGTGGTGTCAGTTTCTTCATCAACGAGAATGCAAAAAAGAACGCTGTATAACACTAACCTCATCTATGCTCGAGTGATGCCCCAGGAACATTGAAATGTAAGTGATGATGGACTGCTCGTCTGGTGAGGTGCACATCACATCTGCGGGAAAAAAGATAAACCATTTTCATTCTTAATCAGATTGTTACTGTGGAGATCATCCTATTTTGGGAGGACCAGTGTGAGCTAATATTTGTGGGAAAAAAAAAATGCAATAGAAAGTCCCTTTGCTGCTTATTTCTGCTGAAGTCCACTTGGAAATGAGACTAGTGTTCCTCATTTACTGTCAGAGCCCATTAATAGATGGCTTCATTACACCCTAATAACGATAAGCTTGTACAACCTAGCTGGTATACCTTCACAATAATCCAAGGTTTTTGGTAGACAGTTGTAGCTAACCTTTGAATGTTGTGGCAAATTTGCAGCATATTTTCATACACAAATAAGATTTGTGGAAAATTTGCAGTAGAGCTCTGACTTTGAGGGAAAACTTGACAAACAGTTGATTTTTAAGTCTTGCTTTTTGTAAGTTTGCTTGAATATTTACAACTGAATCCCCCACAAGTTGGCCACAAATCTGCTGCAAAAATTTTGCTTTTGCAAGGGATGGGAACCATCTAGAAGGTAACTGACACCTTGCAAAAAGACACCTGTCTTAGTGGACGAAGCTACATGAATGTGAGACACTTCTTTCAGGAAGCTTTTACCTTCAGGCTCCAGTAGAGGCGGTATATCCAAACTCTGATGGGCTGTCATGAAGGCCAGCTGGATGTTTTCTTTTGGCTCTCTGGACAAGCTCTCCTTCAGGTCAACCAAGCCTGGGTTTATGGATTTAATTAAAGCAAGGAATGCCAGCCCACTCCTCCAGCTCTTCCCAAAGTCGTGCACATCAACCCCATATCTGCAAATTAAAAACACATACCATAATCCATCCATACGTAAACTGCAAATTGTGTCTCACATGTAATCCACTATCACGATGTAACCGTTTTCAAAACAGTGACAGCAACCTACATGCGGAAAATTTCAACTTTTGAAAGCTTTGGTTGTTTTGTTTTGTTCTTTTCAGTGAATTGGCCATTTTATTGACAGTGCCACCTCCTTGGATGCAAACGTTCCACCAAAACAATTCCTCCCACCATTGTTTTTCAGGGGCAGCATCCTGGCGTAATCATCACCAAGCCAATTATGATTGGTTTAAAAAACTACAAACACGCCACAGCATTTTTAATCCTATACAGTAATGTTAATGAGGTGCAGCCAGACCATTCTCCAGTGCTGACACAGCGTTGTGGAGATGGGTCTGGCTACTATGCATAACATAACCTCAGCACAGCTGACAAAAGTAGTTTCACTCAATGTGGATGTATAGGAATACACTTGAGTTCAGGGTGACAAAAATGACTTAGTAAGCGATTGGATCTTTTTCAGACTCACTTCGATGTGCATCTTTGGGCCCACAGCAGGAGCGTCTTAATTGCTTTCCCATGGTACTTTGGCTCCCTGGCAGCCTTTCTGCCTTTGCTTGGCAGAGTGCTGCAGGAGTAGCTGCCAATGTCATTTGGCTGGGTTGAGAGGTCACTGGAGGACGGGTAACTGCTCACTGATAAGGAAGAGAGGCTAGAAGACAAATGTCTCTGGAGGCCTCCCGTCACCTCCTTTACCTGTGTATGAGTAAAATAGAGGCATGTATACAAGGTCAAAGACAAACACCTCGACAAGAATACATTAGGCTATTAGGTTGATAACTAATGGGGAAAGCCCAACCTGGAAATGCAGGATAATGTTCCAGACAAGGTTAAGAACAACAGAGGCAGTGCCATCAGCAATACCAGACGCGTCGATGCCAAACAGCTTCACCTGGCAGACAACAGGGAGGAGGCATCAACTGTAATGTCGTTATTCCGGATTTGAGGGAAAGTAAGAATGTAACATGTCAAAACAATATTACAGATTTTACAAGTAAACACACTCACATGTCTATCATCCAGGAAAGCCAGGGCCTTGGAAATGTTGTTCAGCCTGAAAATGCGATGAGAAGACGGCCGAAACCTGTAAAGCTAACATAGAAAATTACAAGATGAACACTTGAGGAAAAAGTTATTTGGAAATGCACTTGCTTTCTTGATGAGCGTTAGATGAGAAGATAGGTACCACTCTCATGCACAGCAACTCTGTAGCCAGTTAGCTTAGCCTATCATAAAGATAGTAAGCGTGGGGAAACTGCTAGTTAAGCATTAAGGATGCTAAGATGAAGTTATATGGTACGACCTTTAACGCTGTTGGCAGGTGGATATTACTAGCTTTAAGCAGAAGAAAGCTACGTATTGTTTCCCCAATGCCTGCCACCATTATGCTAAGCTAAGCTAACTGGCTGTAGAGAATTAGTCATGAGAGTGGTGTCAAAGTTCAACTATCAGACTTGATGCATGCATGAACTGTGATGTCACCCATTAGTTTTTGGACAACTAGTTTGAAATTTGACCGTTGCTATCTTGATGTTCTGAAACTGAATGAAATGAGCAAGGGTTAGATCTTACTGAGACTATGAAGACTTTTCTCAACACCTAAGGTATCTTTAAACTAAAACACATTCTGATTTATTTTCTATTTTCCTCTAAATGGGATAATATTTTCCAAAATAAATATCATTCCATATTCAAAAGACTTGACACTAGCTATTGAGACCATAAACTCATTAGGAAAATGTTCACCAAGGCGACAAATCAAGAGAGAAGTTGTGTTATTTTCTCATATACTTCTACATAATTAGATTTCCTTTTGCGACCAGAGGAGTCGGCCCCTGCTGGCTGTTTTAAAGAATTTAGGTTTAAGGCATTTCAATATTGGCTTCACTTTTCACACACAGAGGCTTCATCCATCTTTTACACACAGTCTGGTCTAAGCTGAAACAACAACAACATAAAATAAATAAACTAACAGAACTGTCATAGCTTGTATTTCTTGCAGGCATCGCTTTTCCCCACTATGTAGCCATTATTCTTACTAGTTTGCACCCGGACAGCTCCTCCAGCAGAGCCATGAGTATTCTGCCATCCTGAATGTCTGCGAACAGGTCGTGCACTTCATCTGGAGGATCATGCTGGACATAAGAAGAGAGCACAACCCTTATTGGGGATTGAATTTATTTAAAAAGTGTGGAATAAAACTCTATTGATTGATGCCTCACTCTCTGCAGAAACACATTCATCCATCTGGTGAAAGTTCTCTTCTGCACTGCTTTCCTCTCATCTGGGGAATAGAAAGCAGGACCTTGACCTTGTACAGCAATATTTTTTAAAAGCTTTAACTGTACAGCACATTTGTGATGGATGTGATAAGCATTTGGACAGAACATTGGAAAATACTGAGGTACTGGGCGATAAAAATCTCTTCTTACGCTCTTTTTGTCACATATCTTACATGTACGTCCCAGTAAACAGTGTTTCAGATGGAGACCAATAACAAATTAAAAAAATAGTACAGGATTAGGCAATCAGATGCCACAAAGCCAAAGACACATACCTGGAGCTGCTTAGGAAGGCGCTTAGGGAAGGAAGAGTACGTCAATTTCTTGCAAACGGATTTCTTTTAAACAGGAAATTGTATACAGAGTAATTTAACTACTATGGATCGTAGTAAGACACAAGCAGACTGTACCTTGAGGCTTGATACTGATCGCTCCAGCTGGTTTCCTCTGTGAATCCCAGTTTTCCTGCATTCTCAATTTATGTCAGTCACTATGCTCACCATCCATTGTGAAGATTTTCAAAAAAACCAAAAAAAAAACAAAACAACAATTGAAACTGTGAACAGTCAGAGGTTCTCTGAGGTTTCCTTGCAGAATAAGGGTTAAGTAAAGGCAAAGAGACGCAGCTTGTCTTGCCTGAACACGCTGAAACCTCCCTCTGAAGAGTTGTAGCACCACACCCCCTGAGAAAACCCAGCCTGAGTCCTATTGGCAGGCTGCGGTTCATAAAAGTCTGCATGTGAAGGGGGTCACATAATGCGCCGAGATCCTTCACTGATACAATAAAAGGAGTCAGCTGGGGTCACCGTGTTAGGTTTGTACGACAGACGCCATAATAAAACTATGAGACTCCACATAACAGAGTGATTCATTGATGATATTGATCTTAAATGTCTTCTGAGCATGCCCAGTTCAGAGTGAAGGAATGAACAGATGTTGCCAAAGTTTTGACTGGAGCTGCTCTTCTCGTGTTACATCATAAAAATGCAGATTGAGCTTTAGAAGTTGTTTCAAATTTAGTTGCTTTTTTGAGTGCTGGAGTGTTTTCTGTGTGCAGAAAAGTCACAAACTATATGTACATACATACACATCCTGTCCACTTGTACTTCTTTTTAAGATGCTGCACCTTTAATGTAAGCCAGAAAAACGTGCCATATGTGGATAGTTTTACTTTATTTACCCTGCAATCATATTTTCAAAGGCACAAGTCCGTGTAATGAGTTCAAATCCCTCTGTTAACTCTGGTTTGTGTGTTGTGTAAAATAAGCCTAGCCACTACAATAAAAAACTTGTTACTGTCAGTCTAAACTCTGCTTTAGTGCGGCCTTGTGGCACAACACATTTATCCACTACAACAGATATCCTTGTGGGGATTCTGGTAAAGGTTGTTTGAGCCTCCCTTCAAGGTTTTTCAGTCCCATTTCCCTAAACAGCAGCATTATTAGACAATCTCATATTGCATGAAGAAATGTGCCCACTTCTTTGTGCCATTTCCAACATTCATGTGTTATTTTAAACCATCTCAGGGGTGTAAAATAATATTTAATATGATTATTATTTCACTTACTTCTTACATCCTTTGTAGCCCAGTTTACATTTGAGGTCACATCCTTCCATGAGTCCTCCCTGACCTCACTACCAAGATGCTTTTTAAAGAGTGAACTGTGCAACAAAGGTAGTTCAAATATGACCTTATCAGCTGAAATAAAAGCACTGCTGATACATTTATGCATAAGTGAGCAACAAGATTATACATAGGACTCTACTCAGTGTGCAAACTACACCAAGGCCTTTAGAGGGGCTCGTTTTTTTTCACTTTCTTGTAGTCAGAAACCACAGATATATCATTATTTTCAATATTCCTATTAATAAACTTAAAAATTAGAAAACAGATGAAAGGTAGCAACTGCTGCCTTCTTTCAGTTTGTTCTTCTGTTTTGTTTTACAGCAGCTGACATCAATAAAACGTTACTTTAGTTTAATTGACTTACACGTCAGTGGTGATGACAAGAACCAGGTGCATGACCCTTATTTATAAAAGCACATTCGTGATGATACACGTATCATTGAAGTTTATTGAAGGAATATTGATGGTTGTATATATACATCAATAAGCCCAATACCCTACTGATGTATATAGAATACTGTCAATATTTGATGACCCTCATGAAAATATTAAGAGAAGCTTAGTGCTCCTCTGTAGTTCACACCCTGGTGGTTTTGTTATTTTTACTTAAGTAAAGGATTAAACTTGCTGTACCGCTGTCATTTTTATACACAAGTCTACATCAAAATGTCTTCTTTTTCTTACAGGTAACTTTTATGAAGCCAATATTATGATAACAAGCAATGACACTGATTCTTTATCTTTTTATCATCTGCAACCAAAATTTTATTAGAAAGTTCATTGTGTGTAATTGGGTTACTTTAAACAAATTGTTATGCCCCGGCCTAGGGGAACCTGGGGCATAGCATGGATATTGCTCCACACTAGTCCCTCCACCTCGAAGAAGGCCAGCCACAACACGAAGTCAGGTAACAAAAGATGAGCAGTTTCTTTATTGTTGTCAATCAAGGAGGGGAAACAGGCCAAAACAACAAACAAAACGTATTCTATAAGAACCCTGACTATGAAAAGAAAAAGCAAATAAAAGACAACAACCTTACCTATCTAATAACAAAAAAACAGGAGAAAAAGGTACAAAATAAAAGGGCCTCTCCCTCCTACTCTGCTCTCCAACTAAGATTTTACGAAGGGTCCCTATAGGGATCTGTTCTCAAACAATTCTGTAAGCATACAACTGCTGCGTCTCTTGAGGTGCAGTGGCACGGGTCTGCTGGCTTCTTCGAGGTGGGTGAGGCTGGAGGTGAGGAGCCAGGACCACAGCTGGCGGGCTGCTCAAATACCGGGTTGGCCCGCCCTCCGACCAATGGTGTGGGTGGGAATCAGCGCAGCAGCAGGTGATCCAGCCAACCCGGGGCCACCACCTGCTCCCAATTCACTCGTTCCACCACACTCATGCACACACACACTCACACTGGGGACAGACAAGCAGCAAAAAACACAAATGACCCGCACAGGGTCATAACAAAATAATAAAAGATACATTTTAAAAATGCACAAAGTATTTTTTTTAGCATTTAATAATACCCACAGAGGTCTAAGCTCTCAATTTGGATCTTAATATGACTTAGTGAAATTTGTGTAAAGCCAGTTGTAAGAAATTAGCAGTTTTATTGGTTTCACTGATATATAATTACAGCATCAGCTGAATGTATTTCAACACATCAGAAAGGTACGATAAACAGTGGTTGAATAAAGCAAACAACTCCTAATATTTTTCCAAGGTCGCTGAAGCACCAGTCGGTGGGCGAAACATGAAATCTGAGATATTCTTGTGACAGCCAACAGTGTCTGACAGGAAGAGCTTCACCTGTTTCAAACAATATCTGGCTGCCAGACTTTACTCTACCTGCCTCAAGAAAGGTGACGGCTATAAACGAGACCGCCACCACCGTGGAAAGCAGGAGTCTGTGCAAGGAACATCGCACGTGAATCTCCTGAGCCTCCAGAAGTCACGCCTTTTCATTCTTTGAGTTGCTCTCTGCACCCTTGTTGTACCCACAAGCAACAGGCTTGGCCAGGGGCAGCGTCACAAGGCTGCAAGGAGTGAGAACATCAAAACATAGATCACTGTGATGCTCACATACACTTACTTACATGTCTAATAGGGGCTACTTTTACTGTTGACTATTTTCTCAAATAATCATTAAGTTGTTTAATCTATAAAATGTCAGAAAATGGTGAAATATATCAGTCACCTTTTCCTGAAGCCGAAGATGACACCCTCAGATGTTTTGTTTTGTCCACACCCCAAAGATATTTAGTTTGCTGTCACAGAGGAAGACTGAAAATATTCACATTTAGGAAGCTGAAATCAGAAAGTTTAGACTTTATTCTCCAATGATTATATACTGCATTTCTCTAAGAGAATATTAGACAATAATGCTGCAATCTGACATTTGTCAGCTGTTTTGATGATTGATTAATCAGTCCGAGTATTTTTTATTTTATTTTTTTTACAGAAAAAAAGTCAAAATTGTAAACTGAAACTGAATATCTTTGGGTTATGGACTAAACAAGGCATTTGAGGATGTCATCGTTGGCTTTGAGAAATTCTGATTCATTTATCAAACTTTTCTGACAGCTAGTTGATTAATCCAAAAACAATAATTCAAGATACGTCAGAAATAAACATAATCGTTAGCCCTAATCTTAGCTGTCAGTCTTCAGTGTAAATAGCTGACATTAGACCTGGATGTTTTATACATTCTCGTTTTTATTAAAACATTTCCAATATTGAAAATATAGAAGATTTCCAATGAGTCACCAATCAAATCGTGTTACACTGTAAATTGTTTTTTTTTGCAAAATCAGGATGCACCTGAAGACAAACGGACATTATTATTTCCTCCCCATGATGAAGCTGGGAGCCTCGGCATCATCATCAGCCTCTCTCTCGTCTTCCTCCTCCTTCTCCTCCTCCTCGCTGCTCTCTGAGCTCTTGTCTCCGTCGTCGTCCTTCTTGTTTTTAGCCTCCAGTTTAGCTTTCTTCGCCTGCATCTTCTTCTGCTTCAGCTTGTCCCGCTTCTTCCTGCGCTTCGCCGTCCTGTCCTCCGCCGCCTGTTTGTTCTGCTCCACTTTATCCAGATAGTCCTGGTCATTGTCCTGCTTTTCTGCCATCTTGTCCAGAAAGTCCTGTCTCTGGTACTCCCTCCGGCGTAGGTGCCGGTAAACGTGGAACTCCCCGCTGCCTGCTCCCGCGCTGGAGCCCATCACGTCCCGCACGAACTCCGGCGGAGCCCGCGGGTTCCACTCCTTCGGCCTGTCCGGGATGGGAGCCAGCTTATCCGGGTTCCGCATCAACCTCTCCAGCTTCAGACGCTGCTCCTCCGCCGGTGTCTTGGCGATTATCAGAGGCTGAGCCTCTTTTCCTCCAGGTTTTCCTGGTTTGTTGTTGGTCTTCTGTCTGTCCGCCGCCATCTTTCAAACCGTCGCCTTCTTCTTCCGCTTTGCCCGAGTCGCTCCGGAAGTCCTTAAAGGCTTCTATTACCTAGAAAGAGTTTTTTAATATTGTTATATTCAAATTTCCCAAAGAAAACATAAAGTTATTCAGTGTATTATTACGAATGTGGTGATGTAATAATATTATTTTTTTTATATTAACAGTTGCTTAGAAAAGCGTTTCTTGTGTAACTGATGTGATTGACGTGCGGCTCTTCCAATAGCAAACCAGGATACATTTTTTTTGGATTCAAGTGTCCATTCAGCGCTCAGGTCCCGCCCCCACCCCGGAGAGTGAAGTGTGTTGACGAGCGACAGTCAGTCCGGCTTCTGCTCAACTAAGTTGCTCCGTTTCTGGGACGTTTCTTCTCCTGATACTAAGACAAAACTCACCAAAGACCATGAATAATTTAATCAGATCCACTGCTCGGTGTCTGCGGTCGGGGGCGGCGGTCTATAATGTGCCCGGACGAGCCGACGGACGCGTGTGGTCGGCCCCGGCCCGGTTCCTGTGCGCGGCGGCGGACATCCAGAAGGACCTTGGTGAGATGGTGAAGAAGGACAAGGTGGTGGTGTTCATGAAGGGGACGCCGGCTCAGCCCATGTGCGGCTTCAGCAACGCCGTGGTTCAGATCCTCCGGATGCACGGAGTGGACGACTACGCTGCGTATAACGTGTTGGAGGACCAGGACCTCAGACAAGGTCAGTAAACTGGAATAACCCGGTCACGACTTCACCGCAACAAGTTGTTACCGTTTAACTTCATAAAGCTGAACACATGTTGTGTTACATGCTGCTTTTATGTGACTTGACCGACTTTTACGTCTCTTTTGGCATACGTCTCGCTTGTGTACACCTGTTAACCTAATTATTGTCTCAATAAAACCATCCAGACCTTTAAATTATTAGTCAACGGCCCCTTGGTGCTGGTTTTATCAGTGTGCTGCAGCAGGACGGAGGGTGTGGTGCCTCCAGTCCAACGTTACACCATCACTGCTGGGGGTTTTGTGGCCTCATCCAGGCTGACTCCCTGCGTTGTTTTTGTCATAACTGGATCATTTTGGGTTGTGAATTATGGGAACACGAAATGTTTAGGTTGTATCAGCTCTACCTCCCTCCTCCTCCTTAACTGTTGTGCAACAGCAGACTTTGTGTTACAGCCGGCTGAGGATGACTCATGACATTTATCTGACCCAGAGTCAGGCTGAAGTGGGCTTTAAATTAGAGCAAACATAAATAATTCAGTATTAGTGCTGCCCTGCCACAATTATTTACTTGTCTATTAATTAGTTTGACTCATTTTTTAAAGAAAAGTCCAAATTCTCTGCTTCTAGCCTCATGACTGAATATTTCCTGGTTTCTTTCCTCTTCTGTGACAGTAAGCTGACAGTGTTTGGGGAAACCCAGAACAACATTTTCATAGACCAAATAACTAATCCACAATCAAAGTAATCATGACTGGATGCTCAGCTGTGATAGAAACCTTTAAATGACAAACTTCCTCAAAGCTGAAAACACTTGTAAGCATCCCATGTTGCGTTATGAAAGTGTTGCACAGGATTGAATCATGTAATCAGACTGAAAAACACGAGTGTTTCCATTAGTTCCCTTTGTTTACTAATACTTTGTCCAAAAAATTGTAGTTTTCAAGCAGCTCTGCACATGACATCACATAATCCTACTGTTCAAATGTATGAAAAGGAACAAACAGACTCATCCAACATTATTTTTTACATTTATGTGCTTGAATAATCCTTTTTTTTTTGGCTAATAAAACAGAAAAACGATGAGCTTACGATATGAAAGTAGCACCGACCACATACTTGCAAATTTCATTGCCTTCAGCCATTCTAACTACTCAGATCGTCTAATACTATAATTAGAGCTGCAACACCTAATCAGTTAGCTTCCAACTATTAAATTAGTCACCAGAAATCACCAAAAGATTAATCAACAGTTAAAATAGCGTGTGGCTGGTGAACTAATGCACGGATGGGTTAGTATATACACAGGTGCTGCAACTATTAATCACTTAGTTGCCAACTATTAAAATATTAATAACAGTTTTGATAATTGGTTTGAGAAACATAGTTTTTTTTTTTTTAACTACAGCTTCTTAAATCTGAATATTTCCTGGTTTAGTTCCTCTTTTATGACAGTAAACTGAATGTCTTTGGGTTGTGAACAAAACAAGACATGTAAGAACGTCATCTTGGGTTTTGGGAAACATTAAATAACATTTTTTGCTTACATTTTATAAACCAAACAACTCATCGATTAATGGAGAAAATAATCAACAATGGAAATAATTATTAGTTGCAGCCCAGATATACTTTTCCGTCTTTAGCTAGTAGCACAGATGCAGTAGAAAGCTTTGAATGAGACACTTCCTGAAAGCCAGAAACACTTGTCAATGTCCCACAAAACCTTTTTTTTTTGCGAAACTTGGGAAGTTTTTGTTTTTAATTGGGTCATTCCCGTTAAATTTTTTTCTGATGCAATACTTCAAAATGTGCATAAAAACTGTTGCTGTGACTAATTGTGAAACCAAAATGCAACACTTTCATGACTCCACCTGTAATCTTCCAGGATTCTTTGACATTTAATCCTATATTTTTGTTTCTGACTCTAACACTAATCTGCCTTCCACAGGAGTCAAGGACTTCTCCAACTGGCCCACGATCCCTCAGGTGTACTTCAATGGCGAGTTTGTGGGAGGCTGCGACATCCTGCTGCAGATGCACCAGAACGGAGATCTGGTGGATGAGCTGAAGAAGCTGGGCATCAGCTCTGCGCTGCTGGACGCCGAGAAAGAGTCCAAGTAAAGGACGAGCGTAAACGTCTAAAAGCTGACGCGACAGAGGACACATTGATCAGGTCGAACCCCACACAAAACTCAGATGACCGCAGATAAATCTACTCTTCTCCAGGCAGCCAGTGACTAAATCGACTCATCAGGCTGGTCAACAAGACACAGGAAGAGACTGATAGGTGTAAGTTTTGCACGGATTAGATATCTGACAACTGAGGACTTTAATCTAGGGAGGAAAAAAAAAGAGTGGACAGTGTCATTACAGGGTATTTTCTCTTTAAAGCTCCTTTTTAATGTGTTTTTTTCAATTTCAGGGCAGCAGAAACTAACTGTAAACACAACACCGATACCATTTTGTTGCTGAGAAAATCACGTAAAGTGAGTTTATTATAGCTTTTTGCTTTAAAACAGCCGGCTGCTGTGGACAAAATGGAGCTATGAGAGCACCGAGGGTGAACCAGAACAGACCAGAAAACCAAAACAAAGAGCTAGAAGATGCTGTAAAACTCCATAGAGCTAAACTGAACTGCAGAGTTGAGTGATAGTTTTCTCTGAGTTCGTCATGTGGAGCAACACCTTTAACATTGGACATAAAAATCATTGTTACTGCAAAAATATTGATCATTGCAGCTTTAATATTCAACACTTAAAAAAAACTTATTCTAATATTTGAACACTTTTCTTTCATATCTGGATTCATCAAATTCTTATATTTAGTATTTAAAAGGTCTATTTCTGCCTAGTTTTTAGCATTGAAGCTGCACTACAGAAGACTGTCAGGTTCTCTTTCAGTGCTTTAATTCGTTTACACATGAATGCTACTTATCTCTGCCATCTCGCCCTCTAAAAGCTCTGCTACCTCTACTGTCCACCCTTTTATTTTCCTCGAGCCGCACTCAGTCTCAGACCAAATGAGCCTCAAACTAACTCACCAACGCTGAGATAAGATCATTACAAGGGGTTCCCGCCTGCAAATGGCGCCGTCACACTTGAAACCTTCCAAATGCACTGCCTGTAGCTCCTACAAAGAAGAACAACGACGAGCAGACTATAAAAATAATAAAAGTTTCATAATAATAAAAAGATGTTTAATGTAATTTCTGTCCAAAAAAGTCGCTGAAACGCAACAAAAAAACACACCTGAATACCTTTTACTCTAGTGTTTTCCCGAAGATGACTGATTTACAGCACATCTGGACAAACGGAAGCAGTTGGATGTAAAGTTTGTTGCGTCTGTCCATGTCTGTGGTATTTTTTGTTGATTTGTCGCTGAAGGAAAAGAGTGTTTTTTTTCTTTTTCTCTTTTAAGTATTCTCACTGACATTTATCAGTCGTAGATGTTCCACCTGCTGCACACAGTCGTATTATCAAAGCAATGATCATGTAGTACACTGTAAGATATTGTACATTGAAAGCCTATTATTAAATGTATTTTAGATGCATGTGAACCCTGCACCGATTAAATATTTTGTGACACAAACGACAATTAGCACTTTCTGTTTCTTTTGAATTTGTTTTGTGCAACGGAATCTGGACAAACAGATTTAGTTTTGGGTGAAACACGGGCAGCGCAGTTTTAAAACTAATCTGGTGGCACGTTGACGTTGTTCTGCTTCGTCAGCTGTTGGGAATTAAACCTCAATCTGCTGTCTTTGAACAGTGGCTGCTAAGCGCCTCCTTTGGTTTTATGAATAGCAGAAATGCTTATGTAGCTCAGATTTTGTGCTTTTTAGTATTCAGGCTCAATTTGGACAAGAGATGTATATGATAGAACATGTCCATCAGGATGAGG